CGGCCAGCAGATCCCGTTCGCCCTTCAACGCACGCCTCCAGCCTGGCTTGCTGAGAATCCGCTGCCGCTGCTTCGGCTCGCCAGAGCTACGCGAAGGAGAGGCTGCTGAGAAGAAGCCCCACCATCCTGGTTCGGCGGCGCCCCACCGGCGCCCTGCTTCACCGACGGCGGGCTTGCAAACGGCGATCGCGAGCTGCTGCCTGCGTCAAGCTAGACTGGAGAGAGAGCGCGCGAGCGAGCCAAGGAGACGGCGGGAGGAGGGAAGGAAGGGAAGCGAGCGAGGGGCGTCTGCAGCATGCCGTAGCACATGCACTTTCCCTCTGCCCCTCTTCGGAGGGCTACTACCTCTCCTGCTCCTCCGCCTCTCCTCTCACCCCATTAGCCAGCCAGCCAGCCAGCCAGCCAGCCAGCCAGCGGGAGGTGAGTGGGTGGGCTTTGTTGCATTCCAGGCACTTAGCGCAGAAACGGCACGCCACGTTTGCAAAGGGGGTGTTCGGGCAAGGCGGCGAGGTGTGGGGGGGAGAGGAGCCGTTTTGGAGCCGTTGGTTTGCAGGGCGGAGAGTCTTCCCCTAGTTACGCGGGCAGAGAGAGAGGCGCTCCCCATTTCTGTAGCCCCCGGAGTCAATACCGTGGCTCGGGCTGACCCGAGCAGCCTCCCGGGTTAGCGGCAGAAGTTCCGCGGCCAGGTTGGACCCGCCACGCCACACATACGTGCGTATTCGCCAGCAGCGGATTGTGTACAAATTGAGAAGCTTTGCCTCCTCTGGCAGAGCCGCGTGTCTCATTAGTGCCAGGGCGGCTGAGGAGAAGGTGTTGTGTGCCTGCCAAAAAGTATTTCTGACAGCCTCACCTGTAGCAGAAATGGGAATATGACCTGTTTAGCCCCTAATTCTCCTCAAGCATGGCCAAGGAACAGCACTGACGACTTTCTAAGGCTGCCCAAAGCAGGTAAAGCTTTCCACTTTCTCCAGCCACCCGAATGCTCATTTGGGAGACCTTGAAAAGATGGGGGAGAACCAGTTGCCAGCCCTCCACCTTCCTCAGGTGTCCCATCTGTCCCACTTGGGCACAAACCCACCTGCCCCACTGGGCCACTGCAGCCATGGAAAGAAGGCCTGTTTCCCAGGGAGAAAAGCGGTTGCTTGAAGATGGGGTGAGAGGGAAAAAGTTCCTTCATTTTAATTGGCTTTTGGAAGATGAAGGCAGAGCCCTCGGAGATGCTGAAATGAACCCACCGGAAAAGGCCACTGACTCTTAGGTTTTTATCTGTCCCCAAATGGGGAAACTCAGCAGGAAACTCATAAGCTAATCTGCCTCAATCTTGCTAAGTCTGGGCCCAGTCCTTCCCCGATATAATCAGAAGAAACAGGTGCAGCCATTATTCTGCACCCCATCCAAACTCATTTAGGCCTCTGCTGTCCCTTCCCGCCAAGTGATGTGTGACTTTGGATTTAGCACCTGGATCCTGCTTGGCCTAACCAATATTCTTTCCCACCTGCAAGTCAAGATGTTATATTGGGGAGGAACAATAACCACACTGCTGTAACGGCAGGAAGGAGAGGCACAACACTGAATTAAAGCATGTGACAGAGCATATAGTACATACGTTTTGCCAAAAGGCAAAAATAATTCCATGCAAGACACAACCAATATTACATCTTTCAAATTCTGCAGGATATTTTTGCCTTGGGCATTGATGTGCATTTATAGTACTGCAAATCCCACCATGTGGTTAAAATACAAAGCTGCTCTTTAGGGCCATTCAGCATTTCCTTATTTATTTCATATATATGCCAACAAAATCATATGGCCAAGCCATATGAGTGACTATCAAACTTATCTGATCCAGTTTCAACCACAATATTAAGGGATAACTTGCATGAGTCATGGGAGATATAATACTATCAGAAGATTTCGGTATACAGTTAGAGCTGTCACTAAGCCTTACAAGTTTTCAGAAACAGCTGCAATCTTAATTTGTTCACCCAGGCTTTTAATTGAATCTATATTGCTATGCATCTCTTTGTTCCTGTTGTCTTGGTTTTAAGATGTTATACTATGTTATACTTGGTTTTAAGATGTTATACTATCTTTTAATGCTGTTTTGTATTCTCCTTTGGTGTTAGTATGGTAATAATGAAAAGCAGGTATCATATTTTATACATAAATAAATCAGCTGAGCCAAAACATTCTCAGGAGAACCAGTTCACAAATTTAGCTCTCTCAGCTACCAGTGAGGGAATGCCAAATTTCAGAGTCCAGCAGTAACTTTTAAGACATTCAAGCATTTTAATATAAATCATAAGACCTTCCCAGCCACAGCCTTAGATACATGGATTGGCTTAACTGATAGATTTAAGCCACCTCATATAAGCTTACCCATATAATAAAATGTGTTAGTCTTAAAAGGTGTTATAAATCCTTTCTGATTTTTGGCTATCACGGACAGACACAGTTCTCCTATAACAATGAAAAAATGAATGGTAGTCAAGTGTAGCACCAACACTGAAGAACATACATAGACTGTAATGCAGGGTACAACGTTGGGGCAGGAACATAATCCTGAGGACACACAGAAGGGTCTCTATACAATGACCTTCACCAGTGAACATAGAAAGCTTCATGAAAAGATATTACAGTGCCTACATGCAACAGGTTGGTATTCATCAACCCTGTTTATGAGTTTGGGTAGCATTTGACTGGATACTGCTGCTTACAGTGCAAATGGAGAGAGGGGCAGATTTCTGGAAAGGTATAGCCAAGGAATTTGTATCACTCTTCTTGCTGGGCACTTTGTGTATTTACTTTTCAAGCTGGTTTTTAGGCTGTTTCTCAGAACTAACTGATGCACCGAAAATAAAACGCTGCTTCCATCTCACAAACACCATGATGCAAACTAGTGTGCTGGGATGGACAAGAACAAATGTAGAGGGAGGGTTGTTCAATAAAAATAAAGGGCCCTGAAGAAATCAATGGTTCACAGTATTTAAGCTGGCAGCTCTGCTCTATGCTTCATAAAGAAGCTTAGTGAGGTATAGTTTTCTTCTGTGGAGGAGTTTTCAGGAAAAGAAAGTTGTATTAGAAAGGGAAAATGGGCATGGATTGCATGAGAAGCCTTTATGGGCAGAAATCTAATCTCTTGGTGGCCTTTCCTGCACAGAAAATAAGAGCTAGGTACATCCTGCATTTTGATGGAAGAACAAGACATCTCCAAAAATTCAAGAATTGGAAAGGACTTGATTCAACCTCCAAGACACAGTGGCGTGCATCTATTTTATTTTATTTTTATTTTTTTAAAGCAATCCTTGGCTAGAGAACCAGCAAAAAGAACAGCAGCTTAACCATTTTTCTTTAAATACTTGTTCTTCTCAAAATCGTGCTCTGATAGTTTTTAGTCATCCAAGAAGAGAAAAAAAAACATAAAGATATGATAAGGCCCTCACACAGCTGGCAAGATCAAGCAAGAACAATATGGATTTCAGTAAGGATTCATGCTAATCTGGGATAAATACGGGCACTTGGAAAGTATAAGAGGAATTTCCCAGCTTCCTTTACAGTGAATTAAATAAGGCAGAGTATCTTGAATTTGTTTCCCCTGATGTCTCCCCTTCTCCTGGGCTGCATTAACACTTATGAAACAATCTGTCATCTGACTGCCCCCCCCCCCATTTCCAAAATCTCTCATAGTACCTTTCCACACACTCTGGTCATCCTTGGGACAGGAGGAAAGTATGTCATTTCAGAATTGTAGCCCCCAGGTTTGAAAATGCACCTTTGCACAGAGGCCGACAGTCTTGGCACTTACGCAGAAAATAATGTGGTTCCTTTCGAGGCAGCGATTGGTGAATCCTACTGGATTCACTTCTGGGGTGGGCTACTGCTATGTGCTCCAGGTGCTGGCTCAGCGTGATCACTGCCTCCTGCTTCCCCCAGCTTCCTGCTGCTCTGGTCTCATGTGCTCTCAAGCAACCAGCATTGCTGCCATGTCCTGCTCCAAAGTGGTTGGGCTGGCCTGGTCAACTGGGGGTGAAGTCAGGCTGCGTGGAAGGAAGCATCACAAGAGAGAGGTCCTAGCTCCTTCAACCCAGTTGACCCTAGGCAAGCAAGTCACCCCCCCCCCAAGAATTCAGCACCGCTAATGCCAACTGTTTCTTTAGTTTGTGTGAAGATGGGAACAGAGTGCAAGATGTGCATTTGGTCTTCCACAAGATTGACATCCTCAACCAAAGCAAAAAATAAAAAGAAACAGAGACCTGAGCAAGACCCGTCCAGTCTCTCTGCCAATCACAATAGCAGCCTGGGAGGCACAGAGCCCAGCAGCCATATGGAAGGGGAGGGCCTATGATGGACAATTATTACCCAGCAGGCTTGCACTTCTTGAAAAGGGGGGGTCCATTTTCCCATGGAAAACACTGCTTTTCTGATGGATCCCTGGCAATGTAAAAGATATTCCACAATGAGGACATCCTGGAGTCAGAGCAAGGATGCTCCCTCTCAGTGTGTGTGTTTATGTGTATGCACAACAAATGTGTTTTTAGCTATCATTCCCCAAAGCCATATTTACCCCGA